TTTTGTGTGTTCGCCGTTCGACTGAGAAATTTTAACTCCAATTTCCCCCTAACAAAGCTTTTATTTAAATTTACACGCAAACAGCCGCCAGCAATACGAATGCAGTGCCAACCACAACAACAACAATGGCAGCACCACACGGACTCAACCATATGACCACATCAAGTCTTGTAGCACATGGAGAACATCCACCACTCAATAACATGGTACATCAACAATTGCAAGCCGAACATCCACTTTTGCATTTTCTCGATAGCAACACCACAGTTAGCACCATTGCGAAGGAGCCATTCAATCCCAWCACCAGTCGTCGTTTCAAAAACGAAGCCGATAGCTTAATGCTAGAGAGTCCGGACCGCCCATTTCCATGCGCCATTTGCCGAAAGGCCTTCTCACAACAAAGCACTTTGGCTAACCACATTAAGACGCACACCGGCGAAAAGCCATATAAATGCAAAGTATGCGAGTCGAACTTTCGACAACTGTCCACCTTGAATAATCATTTAAAGATACATACTGGCGAAAAGCCCTACAGCTGTTCCTATTGCCCTAAGCAATTCCGGCAGAAAAGCACTCTCATTAATCATGTCAGAATTCACAATTGTTAAAATGGCCATGCAAATAATTATCCAATAATAAGCATAATGAYGTTGGTGGATTAAAAGCTATATGCAGTAATAATAATAATAATAGATGTATTGGCTAACTAGCCCAATTGGAAACTTGGAAATAGCAGATAACAATAACAATAACCCACACAACCAATAAACATAGATATAAACGGCATTATCAGCATACCCACCACACTTGGTACCATAGGTGGTAGAAACAATGGAAGGAAGTAAACAAACACCATTGTTATTTCGGTGTTCAATAATTATAACCAGCTGCTAAACGTAATGAGTTACCTACCTGCTGTGCAATATGTATTGTCCATGTAAATTTATTATATACTAAAGAGCTGCTTGAGTAAGTGCGAATGCGTATGACAACAACAGCACCGCAGATTTTAGGCATGTGTCTTTATGGCATAAAAACATTCTGTATGCCATAAAATATAGGGATGTGGCAATAGTAAATGTTAGTATTTTGTGGTAAATATTTCACTACTATACTCTGATTTATCCTTTGAGGTTAAGTAATTGATTTTGATTTGCTGTCCTTTCCACCGTAAAAGTTTTTTTTTTTCTGTTTGTCTACCGTTATTTACGTTAATGTTTGACAATTCATTTTGGTGTTAATTGTACTGCTTCCATGTTTTTAGAATTCCAGTGAAAACACTTGTGACAATTGCTCAAATGCTGAATCTCGCTTAAATTATTCTTTAGCAAAATGTTTAAAAACTTTACGTAAAAATGTTTTAAATTTCAGTTTTCTATTCTAGTTMGTCCACAATAGTTTATGAATAATCAAATTAAAATCATAATTTGTATGTGTAAAAAATTTGCGAAAAATCATGGAAGTCGAAATGTCCTGTAGCATTGTAACCCAATATTTGAGTTAGTCAAGAGCTTTGAGCATCACAAATCCTTTGCTAGATTTCTTTATGTAATATTTACATAGCATTTGCAGCATATTTTACGTTTTAATCGTCCGCAGCACTAAAAATGAAGTTAATTCATAATCAAAACGCGGAAATGATATATCCAGCAAGCCTACTAGAAACTCCAACATTACATTGAAAATATTTCATGGAACCAATATATACACACAATGCAACTCACTAACCATATGAGTGAGAAAAGCAAGAATTTCGGTTAGTGCTGTCAATTCGGTTTTAATAARCTCACTGAAGCTTTAAAAGTAATCTCTGGTAATTATCCAGAAGCTGGCTTGCAGGCTAAAAATGCAGTTATATATATTATATTATATTATACTATTCCAATTATGGCTCAAGATTCCGAAAGTCTGTTATACTCGCTATATATTTCAGTAATAATGTAGATTATATGTTAGACACTCAGATATATATAACGTAGAGAAATTCTTATAACAAAAGTAGACGCCGACGGAATTACGAAGCCTGTAATTTGTAGAAAATAAGGAAAGGACAGAGCTTAGTGATTAAATACATTTTAAATGGTTTATTTTAAATATTTCAAATTGATTTTAAATTTTTTAAGTTTGATTTTAAATATTTCAAAATTTATTTTAGTGTTTCATAGTTAWCGTAAGTAAATCTTGAGCCAAAATGGTTTAATTTTTCCTTAAAAAATGTTTTTGATTTCAAATCAAATAGAGTGCTTCGAAAAATTTGCCCAATTAACAACAGCATTTCTCAGCATATTAACAGCGAAAGTTTTTCCACTGTTACAAGAACTATTTTTCCTGCGTTGCTATGAAAATAATTCGCTTTTCGTGGTCAACTGCTGCGAATTGCCGAAAATGTTACAATTTCCCTTACTCTCGCAAGTCTCTGCTATATACATACACATACAGGGTGTTCTCTTTTGTTTCAAAAAAGTTCGCTTCTTGTTTGTGCGGATGTTTTTGAGCGCAAAAAAAAGGTAAAAAAATAAAGTTAAATTAAAGAAAAAAAAAGAAGAACAAGCAAATTATATTTAACATGCATAATTGTACTATTACGTATAAAACCAATTATAATGTGCGTAGAACAAAAACGTTTAATAAAATCCATGTAGAATAAAGCGATATTTGTAAGCAGAAAATACCTATGTGACTTTTAATATTCCAACCCTGAGTTATTAATGTACATACATACATAGAATATATGTGAATTTTCGACTTATTTAAAATCTGAATTTCTATGTAAAATTGAATTAACATCCACTTGTGTATATTTGCAGGCATTTTGCAGGATTTGTAACAGTTTTGCTGATTTTGTGTAAGCTGCTATGTTACATTACCATTGAAATTTTATTCTCTTCGATTTCGCTTCCATTCTTTTCTTCTGCTTCTTTTTATAATTCTCAGAACGTTATTAATTTAGAAAAAGTATTTTTGAGTATTTATTGTTTAATGCTGCTTTACAACTGGCTTTGCGGAATGGATGAGGTAGCACATGATGTTCTAATATGAAATAAAATAACCGAATGCGTCCGAATAATTCTTGTTCCGTTTCCACGACAGTGCTCTAAGCAACCGGATCGCACTTGAATTTGTATACGGCCAAGGACTGTCAACTCAGCACCATTTMTCGAAATTATTTCTGGAATGTGTTCTGCCGCTACAGCAACAACAAATTTTGTTCCTTTGTACAGCTGTTAAGTCTATATTCTTTAAAAAAACTATCAGCTCTGTCATTTCCATCTAGCCTCTATGATATACAACGRCAACTAAGACGTGGTGGAAATGACCAGTGCAAGTTTCAAACCGAGAAAACTTTTATGAAATCATAAATTTGTATTGTGTGAAAATTAAAAATAAATGTTTTGATAAAAAGGAATTTCCCTTAGTTTTAATAAATTGTCATGGTCTCATTTGTCAATATAAAACTAGAACTTAACCACGGCGGGGCAAGATATGTCTTTTCGTTCCCACGACAGTTGGGTCTAAGTAACCGGAACGGCTCCGAAGTTTTATCCAGCCAAAGACTGTAAATTTTGTTTATTTATTTTGTTCACATTACACCATACAAACATAATTTTCTCTTAGCCTAAAATTTAGTATATACATATACATTTCATAAACCGTAAATCCCGACAAATTATGATTCGTTTTGCATTAAATCCAAAACCTATTATTATTGCAGTAGTGGAATAGAAGTAATGAGCGAAGCACTAGTGGAAATTTTGTTTTTGGACAAACTAACGGCTTTCCAAAAAAATCGTTATTTGTCAAAAATTGAAACTACAGAGAAGAAATGTTATTCTTCGATCATTACCTGATGGCCTTGCAAAAATTTAAAAACGATCAGTCGAGCCCTTCCGACGAAAATTTCCTCAAACACATTTATAGTTTTGGGGTACGATTAGCCTTAGTCAAAAAATTCTTACACAAACACAATAATATCTCCGAAACTATTTGCCGAAACAACTTAAAATGTTAATAACATCCGGAAGGRTGCGCCAATGACCCTAAAAAATCTATGTATGTGACGAGCTAAGTTGATTTCGCCACATCTGTCTGCTTATTCGTCCGCTCGAATATATACCTCAGTTTTTGAAATATCGATATGGTAGGACCGGAACTTTCATTGCGGTAAGTCCTCACACCATAAATGAGCTGCTCTGCAGTGATGACACAGTGGGTACGGACAGGCATGGGCAACAACTCCTAGGCATGCGCCATGCAAAGTTGCTAATGGGTTGTTATAATCTTAAAAGGTTTCAATATGTAATCAACCTCCCGAGGGAAAAACTCARCCTACTTGTTGCCTTCTACACTGGGCATTGCAAGCTCAAGTAGAACTTATTTAAYATAGGCCTAGCTTCTTGTGCGAATTSYCGGCTCTGCGAYTTGGGAGTCTGAAACATCAGAACCCCTGCTAATTGACTRCACAGCTGTCTGTAGGCGCAAGATAAAGGCCCTKGGATCCATGTTTCGACTTAGGAGAAGGCACAATAGACCCTATTTCACCCCAAGAAACAGCTCATTTGTCGTAACAGCCGATATRGGACCACTATAGTTCATAGCTGCMATGCAAACTGACTGATCATAGTTCCAGTAAAGAATCTTTTGTATTTGTGAAGATTTTATAGTTTCAKTGCCACCGATRCTAACGTTTTYTCTTGCTTTAAATATACATAAGTACTTTCGATGTGCATATGAGGAAAAAAGCCCATTTTTTATTCAGACGTGAATTTAATCTCCTAAGTAATGATATCAAAAATTAAWAACAAAAAAATATGGCTTCAATCAGTGAAGGTTTGTGGAAAAAATATGTAAGAACGAGAAATATAGACCTGAAGCTGCCAAACCAATTTGTATAATAGACTTGATGAATAATGGGTATAGAATGTTTTATTTATGAACATATGCACTAAAGTATTAAAAACAATCCATACCTGGAATATAACATAATTGAAAAACGGAAGCAATAAAGTATAGAGTTTCGTTTATTGGACTTGAAATGTTAACAGCATTTGTGTACTTATGTAGATAATCATCTTCATCTTACTCCCTTTGTTATGTTCTTAACAGAAGACATTTTATTTAGCGTAAATTGCAATCATTTCTATAGTCTAATCGTGGCTAATAAGCGAATTTGTGTTGTGATTCCTGTCATGGTGCTTTTATTTGTTTGGAAAATTTCAAGTGCGTGTTGTGTGACCGAAAGAGTTATAGAGAGAGAAACATATTATTATTTTCTAAATGTAACCATCRATGCTTGGTGCGATAATCAGAACAATATGTTATAAATATGTATTAATTGTTTAAATTTTAAATGTCTTACTTCGTTGATACAAATCACGACACAATCACGATCACGACCACGATACATGTAATAATAAAAATACATACGAGTTAAATTACATAATATCTCGCTAACACGAACAACAGCTTTTCCMCAAATCCAACACACAGCTAATAACATCTGCTTCTTCTTCTTTTAAACTTAATATATGATTAATAATAATTGAAATAAAAAATACATATATACTTGTAGTATTTATAAAGGAATTTAGGAATTTATATGTAAACAACTTTTGAAAAGCCTTCGTGTATAAAGAAATACAATTTCTTAGGTATGTTTACAGTGAGTTTACAATTAATGGTTGTAATACACAATTAAATTATAGTTAAAAATCCTACCGATTTCTGCTTTAAAAGCAACTAACCTCAAAACAACTTTTAAAAACTTATCAAAAAAAAATAGGAAACGATTACRTGTGAATAGTTGGGTGAACCACAAGCAGTTCGATTTTGGAGTCACGTAAAAATCTCCAGGATTTTTAGTGTCAAAGTCAAAGCTAGGTTAGATTTTGACACTAAAAATTCTAGAGATTTCTACGGCAGATTCCTCCACAGTAGCCTAATTAAATTTCTCTACTATGTAGTAAAGAAGTGAAAACTGTCAAGGTTCAAGTYCTTAATGAATTTTTTAAGGGACACCTTTCGTGTGAAATAATATTATACTATATAACCGCGTAAGCRATGTCTATGTTAGTAAAGAAGAAAAAAATTTAAATATGATTTCAATCAAATTTTTGGCATATTCTGCTCTCCATACAATGGCCYATAAATTTTTTTTTTATCAAAAATWATATTCTGTCAGGSCAAAAATACCAAACATTTTGGTAAAATTGTACTTTAAAAACGAAACATTTTGTGGAAATTTGTTTTTTTTTCGACCGCAGATCATTGTACATACAATACCTTCAAGTACAGAATAATTTTTTTGTTTCATTTACGAACGAAGGCTGCAGCAGTTTTTCTAGCGCCGTCGAATAACACGTGTAGCTCGAAAAATATTTAATTTTCTCTTCAAAAACTTTGTTGTATACTCGTATTCTTCAAACGTAACCTCAAATAAATATTTTGTATAAAAGATTTTAGGATTTTTTTTTTTTGTAATTGCTATTTTTTTCGACACTCATAAGTGTGTCCCTTAATCTCATGCGCAACCTGGTACCAGTGCCGCATAAACCACTGTTCAGTGGTGCCTAGGTAACACATGGCTTAAAATTCAACGAATTATTCACACTAAAGCTCAAATAAAACTATTATCTCACTTATCAACATACACAGCTCTTTACACTTTTCATRCAAATACAAAATGGAGTTATATTATATGTAGTTACATAATTTCAAATCGCCTGCACACAAAACAATATGCATACAGTGAAGTGTGTCTCGAGAAGTTTACGACCTAAACGCGAAAATTACAAAGGAAGTTTTTTAAAATAGCTTAACATAATTCAAATTGAGGTAATACTATAGTAACATGTTTTTTTTAAAGACGATTTTAAAGTTAGCGTACAAATGTGTACTGTAAAACCGTAACTTAAGCATTATTTACGGTTACATCGCTTGATGTAAGTACGTAGTTTGTATATTTACTTGTGTGAAACATATTGCACACGATCTTGTTGCGCTGATAACAACAACAAAATCAATGAATATTTGAACAATAAGCGTTTTACCTAACTAATTCAACTTATTGATTCGTTAACCGCTTCAACTGAGTTGATGCTGGATTTACTTAAACATCCATTTCATTACAAAGCAGGCTGCTAAGCCAACGAATGCATAAACCATTGATTTTATGACCACCGTTTGTGGCACGGTGCGCGGCACAATGTCGGCGTAACGGCCGGTAGATGTAGACGGCGCCATTAGTCTGGGATTATAGTGGATTCGCTCCAAATTTGTTTGTATCACACGCAATTGTTTCGTTTGCTCCTCCAGTGTGTGATTCATCTTTTCAATGGCTGATACCAATCTGAAAAATTTTTATTTATTTATTTATTAAAAAATTAAACTCAATTTAATTAAAAAAATATTTATTTATAAAAAAAAAAGTTCTCAAGTATAAAGTAAAAATGCAAATTCCCACTTACTTTCGTATTGATTTGTTCGATTTCTGGTGTGGCTCCTTGTTCACATCCGGATTTGATCCAGTCGAATCGGTTTTTTCATCGTCATGTTGCAGACCCAAAATCGAAACGCTTTTATGTTTTACCTTCAATAGAGAAGATGATTTAATTAACTGCATTGGATCGGCAGTCACGATGCTCGGGTTACGCACCATTGGCGCCCGATGGCGTGTCTTCGTGAGCACTTTGTAATTCGCTTCGTACTGCTTCAAATCGTTGCGTTGATCCCACGGACGCAAGTCAGCGTAATTATACACCCACTGTGAAGAGTTAAGAAATTATGAATTCAATGGATCAAAACTGTAGTCGAGATATACACAAATATTACAACTATATGCATACCAACGTTACAATAACATTTGATCAAATTTGGCTCGGACTGGACTAAAGTAATCGCACAAATCGAATCGATGGAAATGTCTTCCAAATTGTTACAATCTTTTTTTTCTTTTTTGAAGTTCGTGTTGACCTTGGTATTTGACAGCTGTTTATTTACGGCGCGGTAAGGTTTGTCTGACAATTTGACACAGTCAAAAGAGCACAAAGTATTCAGTGATGGTCGTGAACTCAACCAGAGTTTCGCTCATACGAATTCTCCTTSCACCACAGACATCTTTGAGTGTGACCCTTGCGCAGGGTAAACTCCTACTTATGACACCAACACCTTCTTTGCATGTCTATCCTAATATCTAACCTTATACATCTGACACCCCTCCCTATGGTCCGACCAAGTCGAAACAGTACATTTCCTGGGCCTTCCGTTGGATCACCTCGATTACAACTTATCTGAAACTTGCCGTCCTAACGGGGACTAGATAAGCATTACAACAACAACAACTAAAATTGGTTGAAGGCACCGAAGGCTATCACAACCGAGGTATATAAAACGTGTGTGGTTAAATAAAATAAGGGTTAGCATACTAGCGTTAGCTCGAAAAGATCCTACTTTGAAAGCGATAGTAAATACTTGTAATAAAACTCCCAATCAGCTGGTCCAACGTTACCGGAATCGATTCGGATTTTATTCGACCCGGAGCTTTTATTTCGGCGATCTAACGCAGGTTAAATCGGTAAGTAGTAAGTAAATTCGTCATCTTCTGAGCAGCAGCTTGATCAAAGGTTGCCCCGTACCCTCTTGATGCTTGTTGGCATTGATCGCGGACCCATAGGAATTTTTTGATTTTGCACGGCGGAACAAATAGGCGACTCTGGTTGCGTCATCTTGCGGGAATCTGATAAATAATATAACCTGTCAAGCTGTGCTAACACTTGAATCAGAGCATCTACCCGTAATCATCTTGATCAAGAAACCCGCCCGACTTTATTTTATGAACAACCGCACTTTTTTTAGTTTTAAAAAATTACTTGGGTCGGCCTCACGGAACTTAACTTTCTTGCGACCTCAATCGTTGGCGGACGTGTCTTTTGCGCCAAGTGATCGCGGCTGGTACCACTCGCTTTATTTTAACTGAAAGAATTGCCGCCTAAATTATCCTACCGAAAATTTTGTTCTCAGTCCGGGTCAAATTTGCTACACTTACTATTGATACTTAACATTTATAAAATTATGAAATTATTAGATTAAAAATACATTAAAAATTTATTGAAAATATAGAACACAAAATATGTATGTAACAATTATCCACTAATTTCTAAAGCAAACTAAATTAAATCAAAATAAATAAAATTTAACATTATTGATACCAAATAATAAACAAATTCAACACAAACAGTTTTTAAAACAGTTATGGCTTAGCTTAAATTGTCTAAGGTCTTCTGCGTAATTGGCAGGTCCAGAAAACATATACAGTTGCTTATAAACACACAACTACTTTGGGAATTTTGCATAACACACCGAAGTATTAATTTAGTTTTATTGCATTACCTTTATAATTTTAAACAAGTGCTTAACTTCATAATGACTGATACATGATTATAATATTTCATCACTTCTCCCAAAAGAAGCTTCGGCTTTGTACACTGTTTTGTCGACTTACATAAATTACAAGCATTGCTTAGCGAACTCACCTGTGTAATTATGGGATCGAAGTTGAAATGTACTGGCATCCATTCAATTGATAATGCTTTTCGCTCCTTTGCCGAGTTGCGCTGCGCTTCCTCCAGCACGGTCTTCTCCTCGGTGGCGCCAACCTGATCGTCGCTGCGTATCGCTAGCGATACTTTCTCCCATAAACGCTCAGATTCGTTTGGTAGCTGAGCATCCAACGGTACCACATAGCGCACCAGACGCTTGTGTTTCGTGTCCGCATCCGCTTTAAAAAGTACGGTTTCTTCGCCAGTTTTAGCTTCTTTGATTGTCATTTCGGTATCCCAATGGCCACTTATAGTGGCCATGGTCTCTTTGCCCAACTTAATTTTACCCGAAATTAAATTGGTATAGTCCGAACCACCCAGGAATGGTTTCAGCTTGAATTCCAGTTCCGTCTTGTAACCGGTGTTCTCGCACTCAATGTTAACTTTGCCGCCCAACTCCATAGACAGTGTACCAACAAGTATGCCCTTACAATGGGCATATGGTGTATTMAATGTATACGTTTCACCACGWGGTAGCAAMGTGAGTGTGGCAACGCCTTCCAGTACAGCTGATGTGCTGTTRCCATAGAACTTCGATTTAGCCAAGATGGAGCAACTGATGCAGAAACCATCCTGGCGATTGGTCACATAAAACGCCGACACTGGTGGATGATGTGACACTTGTTCGGCAATGTAGAATGTACGGCTACCGTTCGGGTGCTCCCAAWAGCAACGGAACGTTTCACCCAATATGGGATTGTAGGGCTTCTTTAAGCCTTTTGGTTTTTTGTAGAAACCTGATAGATACCATTGTACAACGGTCTTCATGCGCGTAAAAGGATCGTCTTCGGTGACAGCCCTTTTAATAAATAAATTATAAATTTAAATTTTTTGTTCAATTTTTTATTTATCACACAAAGACGTTCGCTTGTTACGCCACTCACCTCGACAAGATGTCTGCATGATAATATGAATCGGACAGCTTATCCAAAAATGAACGTGGCTCGAGTATGAATGTCGGCAAAACRACCTTACTCAAATCCATGCCTGGCCGCACTTGCTTAACGAGAATCCAAATCAAGCTTTTGTTCTCGTCTGCGAGCTCCTCCACCTGCTCACCCACCTGTTATGTACAGAGCATTATGTTAAAGAATGTTGTTTTTTCGTTTCGGCCATTAAGAAGGGACTATATTTTAGTGACGGACTTACAGAGCCGAACTCCTCTTCGGTGAGTGGCACATATGGTGTTTCCGGCTCTTCGTCTTCGACCACAGCCTCTTGWTCTGATTCTGATTCAGTATCGACCCCTGACATAGCTGCGGGCCCACCTTCGTTTTGGCTATCGCCATCAAGATCTGTTGTAAAGTTAAATAAAAAGATATTCTAAATTAGTACACGTTTGTTTTAATTAGGGAATGCAACAGGATAATTAGGTTTACTGAACAATATGGGCGGCCACATTTTCTACGATATATGTATCAGTTGCTACGCGTATATTATGCGCCTTAGTTCAAATGCAACAATTGTGCTGAAATGCTAAATATTTTATATTTTATTTGATTTCGGCAAATGACAAGCAACTTCAGCTACAAAGTGCTTTTCAATATTTTTTATACAGTTCTGGTGAAATTTGATGAATATGTAGAGATTTTTAATTTTAACTAAATATCTTTTTTGAATGTCAAAATCTATAAATTTGATCCCGTCCTAAACTAGAGTAATATACTTAATCGATTGGAGTAATCGATTATTTACTTGTTTTCTTCTTTTTTTCTTTAATTTATTACTCTATATAGACATGAAGCACTTAAAGTGCAGAACTAGTGTGAAATGATAAAAAAAAAAAATAATTTTTGCAGTGACTGAATTTAAAATTTTCAACTGAAAGTTCATGTTGGTTAATATTTCATGAGTTTTTGATTGGTACAAATTATGCAGAGAGGGTCGAGAACGCGTTGATGACGAACCACGCTTAGGTCGGTCATTAACATAACTGATGATCAATAAGTCAATCAAATTAAAGGATTTGRAGCTTGAGAATMGACGATTAAGAGTCAGATATCTTACTGGCRTCTTTGGAATATCGGAAGAAAAGGGAAATCCAAAATCAATCAATTTTTTTGACTGTGAAACAATGCTTTCCTACTACGAAGTTGTCATGAAACGTATTATTACTGGCGATGGRTCTTGGATATATGCTTACGACCCGACAACCAACAAAGGTGAACCGAAGTCGTCAAAAACCATTGTTATGTTCACAGTTTCTTCGATTATCGAGGTCTGGTGCCATCCGAATTCCTTCCAAACGACCAAACTGTCAAAAAGGAATAGAATTTGAACGTTACGCATCGTTTGAGCGAAGATATTCGTAAAAAGATATAAGAATTATGGGCCGACAACTGGTTTGTCGTGCCGCAACCACAGCTCCGCTTGACATAGCTCCGCGTTACTTGTGAATCACTACGCGCATACAAAGCTATTCCGGAAATCGATTTTAACAACTGTTCGAGGATTGGAAAAAAACATTAACAAAAGTGCATTGAGGCCACTGGGGATTACTTTGAGGGAGAGGACATAGATTTTGAAGAATAAATTAAGAATTATAAAATTATGAACTAGTAAGACTTTGTTGATCACAGTAATAAATTCCCAAAATTATTAAAATTTGCGTCTAAACCCTTGAAACGCATATAAGGAACAAGTGCAGTATGGATTCCTTACAATAAATACCTAGCATTGAATTATACTTGATAAAATGGCAATGCTGAAAAGTATTTACAATTAGTCGAGCATTATTTAGCGTACATATGTATATATCCATATATGATAACTGAAATGCAGGAATATGAAACGCTTGCGTGTATGCAACTTTTACTCTTTCTACCCACAAGTCTAAGTTTATTTATTGAAATTTGCGCTCAACTAGCAAACGAACTAATAGTGTAACGAGCAAAAAACATTRTTGTGATCAAACCCTTAACGTTGAGCACAAAAGGTGGTGCGCTCAAGGCTCTGGATGCGCCTGATCTGGCCTGCAGCTCTGCATTTTCGTCAACCGAATCAATCGATGACGATGTCTCATGTGCCATCGGGCCTAACGAAGCCGATTTCATAAATTGATTTTGGCGACGTGCCTTCAATTTTAACGATTGGTGTGTTTCCAGCATGGATGGAAAGTCAATACTCGAAACATCACTGAGATCACCCATTGAACTCATGCCCTCGAATGAATCGCGTTTGCCTAAATGTTTGGCTTTGCGTAGTTTGCGTAAGTTTTTCTCCGCCGAATTGGCAACAACACGCTCCCAATGGGTCATTGTCATGTACAGTTGCTGCAAAATTGGTGTCTGTGCACGAGATGTCAAACTTGTGTCCGAACTGGCGTGCGATTTGCTCAATTCGGGCACCATAAGATACTGCGAATATTGTTTCTGCATGCTACCGCTCGGTGAGAAGYGTTCGGGATGTGGGTCTTGTGAGAAATTTTTTAGAAAACTTGTCGAATTTATAGGTTAGTAGTGAAATGGAATGTGCAACAAGATTAAATACGCGCGGCCCAACTTCGTATATTRCTTATGGCTCAAAAAGCTCACAAAATAGCCAAAATGAAAAATTTCGTGAATTGTTCTTAGTTAGTTAAGATTGATATATGAAGTCAGATATCTTCATAATCTAACAAATATGGAAATTTKCTTTATAGCCGCACTTAACCTTAACATATACCGATTGATTTCACTTCCACTAAAATTTACTATTTATATATATTTTTTTTTAGATAGTATACGTATTTGGAGCAATGCTAAGTCAGCTGGCGTATGTCACTCTTACACCCCTTACATACTGTCTCTTATACACATCTAGATGTGTATAAGAGACAGTATTTGGAGCAATGCGTCTGTCTCTTATACACATATATATATTTTTTTTTAGATAGTATACGTATTTGGAGCAATGCTAAGTCAGCTGGCGTATGTCACTCTTACATAAAGGCGAAATTTGTTGCACATTCACTAACAAAGAGGTGTCATTTAAGTCGTACACTCACCATGTTCGTTGAAATGCTTTTCGTAATCCGCCTCCGACCACTGGGTTTCATGYGATATCTGCGCATTRTCGCTGGCACTGGTGCCCTGCACGGCGCCCAAACTGCTRTTGGAACGCARAAGCAATGCCGAGCAGCGCAAGGAGAGCTCCAGTGCATCCATCCAACATTTACCAGCCGCCTGACTGGGTGCGCGGAATATCAGGTAAGCGGTTGGTAAGGGTTGAACGACTGCGCCTGCAAAATTTAGGTGAAATTTATAACTGTTTAGCGCATATAACGGTTTAATAATTATTATTTGAGCATAATTTTGATATTGAAAATCGTTAATAATTATTTCTAATATTRCATGATAATAAAAAATAAATACAATTTGTAGAACCTAATTAACATAAGTGAAATGACTAATCAGACCTATTGTCTCCTTGTCTGGTCCACGCGGCGCCCATATCGACTGCTCCAGCGGGTGGAAAAGCTTAAAGCAAAAGCCGTCTTTCTTGCTYGGCCGCTCGATGACCTGGCATGAGGTCAGCATAATTGTGCCCACCCAATGGCTGCTCTTCAGCTTGGGACTCTTGTAGAGCAGCATCATGCCGGGCTTTAAAACACACCACAGCTTCGTCCATGACTTCAGTGTGCCACGTACCTATTAATTAGGAAAGAAATTTGTGCCAATTAATATTTTAATTTAATTAAGTTCAAGTTATTTGGCTGTCATTTCAAAGYGTCAATTATTAAAACAAGCAAGAATTATTTTATGGCGGCTGTTAGRTGAAGCTTTACTAGACATTGTACTTTGCACATAAGTCTGTTACAGTTATTATTCGTTGTTGTTGTTTTGTTGTTTGTAGGTGCAAATTTCAGAAAATTATTACTTTCCAGCACCATTTTGTGTTCAAAGTGCAAGTATAATATGTAGAGTAATAAAGCGAGTTTTCGTTAATGTTCCGGTTAATATACTGGATATATATCAGTGTATTTTATGTTTATTCGACGTCAATTTCAAGAAAAATATAGTATATTCGTTAGTAGCTAGTAAAACAATGAACTAATTAATATTTTATATGCTTATTTGCTTATAAGAAATGGGTTCACAGTAGTAGACTCTCAGACTTCATTTTATCACATTTCAAAACTTTTGTTGTAGTACTTTTTTATACGGTATGAGTTAKTGTTTATTGAAGTAATGTAATTTTGGAAGAAATTGTTCAGATCGGTTAACTATAGCATATAGTTTTCATACAAACCGAACGATCGGAATCAAGTTCTTGTATGGAAAACTTTCGCATTTGACGTGGAATCTTCACGAAAATTGACATGGATTACTGCTTAAGGTAATAACATAATTTCCGAAAAAATTGTTCTGATCGGATTACTATAGCATATAGCTTCCATACAAACTGAACACATAGTAACTAGAAGACATGCACGTGTGAAGAGTATAACAGCTTCGGTGCAGTCGAAGTTAACGTTTTTTCTTGTTTTAAGTAATTTCGAGGAATGGTGAGAATTTAGCTAGAATTACATACTAACGGGTGATCCAAGTAGAGGTAATTTTTTCAAGAGCCTTCTTTTGACAGATCACGCGTGAATTGTGTCAAGCTGTCATGATATTCTTGTTCCATATTGTTTTGCATTTCATCATGGAAAAACTTACGCCTGAACAAAGTTTACATTTCGTTAAATATTCGAACGAATAGACTACTAGAAAATATAGCAGCCGTAGTCGATAGACTTGGAGCATTTTACGTCAAGATCTTAAATTGAAAGCTCATAAAATATAGATTGTGCAAGAACTGCTCAACCTTCCCAAGCGACATCGCTTCACACTATGGACTCTTGAAAAGTTGCAAGAAGATCCGACGTTTTTGAGCCAAACTTTGTTCGGCGCTGATGCGCCTTTCTAGCTCAATGAAGAGAAACCTGAAGRCTTTTAAGAGCTGCCACTACACCCAGAAAAAACAAACGGTTTGTTGTGTGTTGTGTGGTTAATGGACCAGTGGAATCATCGGTCCACATTTCTTCAAAAATTATGCCGATTAATTGTCAGTGGCGACTGTTATCGTGAGCTCGCCGAAATTTGGTGCACAGTGTGCACTTCCCACACATCGCATCAATCARTGCATTTATTGAGAGAACACTTCGGTGAGTAGATGATTTCACGTTTTGGGCCAGTCGATTGGCCACCAATATCGTGTGATGTCACACCATTAGAACTTTTTCTGTGGGGATTTGTAAACTCTAAGGTCTATGAGGACAATGCCTTTTCGCTTCAGGCCTTGGAGCAAAACATCATACTGTCATTTGCCAGTTACCAGTCGAAATGTTYGAACGAGTCTTCGAAAATTGGACTCAACGGAAGAAACATCTGAGACAGAGCCGCAGCCAACATTTGAAAGAGATAATCTTCAAAAAAAATTCCAAATAATGTTTCTTTGAATTATAATAAAAMATTCCTATTAAATTTGAAGTTTCTGTGAGTTTCTGTTCTTTAAAAAAGCAGGAAAGCTCAAAATTGATCACCCATTACTTCGAAGGTAGTTTACAACTAGTTCMTTTCACTGCAAGATATTTGCACAAATGCGCATAGTACAAAAAATATGTCATAGGCACTTATGTATACATATATGTATGTATAGAGGAGATTGATGATGTAATACAAATGTACATATGTATAAGGATGCGTACTCATCTATGTGTATGAATAAAATGGCGTCACGACTATCAGTCACCCAAAAAATCACTTAAATGGGATTATTAGATTTACTACATGCTTTGTGTAGCCACAAACACACTTTTACATACATACATACATACGTATGCGTRTATATACATAATTCTTGCAGTTAGGGCGCAGGCAATTACGTATTTATACTTTTGGCGCTAACTTAATTAGGTGACGCCATTGCCTTGGTGGTTCACCATTGTTATCAGTACTTTTATAAAAATAATAAAAAAAAAGTGTTGCAACAAATTCCAAAGTAAATAATCAGCGATAATTGATTGGCATTGGTCTTGTTAGCAATATGTATTTACTTATGTATGTATGTATGTAGCTATATGGCCAAGAGCGAGTATATTAAATATATTTAACATATTTATGTAAGAATTAGTTATTTTTGTGTGAAATGCTATTTGCTCTCACATACATAAATAGATATATTTATATATATATATGTCGGTATTTGCACATACAATACGCATGGTACATATGTGTGAGTATGTATATACATATATGTGGCGCCCATTTGCTTACACTTATGTATATTAGTTATTTTATCTGCACAAATAACATAGTGTTGACACTTGTACACAGCAACAACAACGGCAACAAAAGTAAAATGAAAACAATTTGTCATAACAGCACACCTGGTGAATATCGATTTAGGCAGAATACCACATGTTACAGTCAAGGTGTGCAACAATTAATATGCACATATACGCACACAAACGCACTAATTACCTTAAGCCAATCAGCTAGCACCACCACAGTGGGATCCTGCAGCGAATTCAGCAATTCGGACGCAACACGTTTCTTTTCCCGACGATAATTCTTGCGTTGCGCCTTATAGGACTCCTTCCGGTTAAGCTTGGAGGGATCTCCCGGCGTCTGAAATGACGGCAGAAAAATTATACTAAAATTGTCGAAAATTTATTAATTAATTTTTACTTAAAATATATAAATAATAAATGAATGAATATAAGAATTAAAATGAAACAAACYAATTAACCATGCGTTATTTCGAAAAATTAAATAGTAATCACAAGTAAATTGTTGTTGTTGTTGTAACGGTTATCTTRTCTCCGTTAGGGTGGTAAGGTTCAGATAAGTTKTCATCGAGGTCATACAACGTTAGGTCTAGGAAACGCGCTGTTTCGACGGGGTCGGAGCATATTGAGATGTTTATCATATGTTTAGATTTCGCTGGGCTTGCAAAGAGATGGTGGTTAGAGTCATGCGCAGACGCGTTGTATGCTGACATACATATACTTGGTATGTAGAGTTCGATTCTGGCTAAGTAGGAGTTTAACCTGCTACAGTATCCMGAASGAAAKTTACTYTCCATTATTGCGGCCGYCGAGTCGTYGTCTGCAATCGGTGGTAGTTTGACTCCAAGTACGCCATTCACTGAGGGGGAATCGGTGATTGTGTTCATGCTTCCACTGTGAATGGCGGTCAGTGCATRYCTGCAGTTAGTTGTGTCCGAAGTCTGGTCGGCGTATTGTCTTATGCCGTCGATGTAGTTAAAGATGTTATTAGGGGACGATTGCGCTTCAAGCAGGCAACTGCTGGGATGGTTTCTACGAAAACACCTCAACAGAATYTGCTTGGAGAGAAGTTCATTATGCTCCTGGACATTAACTGGAAGCATACCTGCCTGACTGGCAGATATTCGATAGGAGACATCAAGAAGYATCCCGKTATAGTCCTGAGTGCAGTGTTCTGCCATGAGTGAAATTTCCCCGTCCGTTTTTACAGCATTGGTGCGACATAGTTAAGGATCGGCCAGYCGATTGCCATGTCTCGTATCTTGCCTGGAAGCGGCTCTGTTCTTTATCAATTGTCGCGGTCGTATGGGGAGTAAAGGAGCACAGTCTGCCCAACTATTAACAGTCGCAATTTAACGTCATCAATTTTAGTGTTAAAGYCCAAACCCAACTTCGTCCAGTTCGTGAAWATGGTCGCTACAGATTTAGTGTGGGAGAGTATAAGACTYCTTGCAGAGAAGAAGCAAGAAAGTTTGGAACGGATTGACCGTTTACTTTAAAGCACATACTATCGATTGCATTTCCTGAGAATACAAAATGATAGAAATTCGCTCTGGTCGTTGAGGGAGTTGCGAAATGTAGAAATTAAACAGAAACGAGGAGAGGACACCAGCCTGCGGAACCCCTTGTTTAATTCTTCACAATTTACAATTTTTACCTCGGATGTTTGCCRACAGCTCAGGTAGTTCTTAATACACTTCTTCAACCCTGGAGGAAGTGTAAATTTTCCATGTCCTCAAGTAGCGTTTTGTCACAAGTCCAACACTACGAGTATCGTCCTCTCGCAGGTTTTTGTTTTTTTTTTTTGTGGTGGAGCCATGAACTATCTAGACGTTTTTGACGCTAAGTGCTTTGGTGGTGCTGTGCACTTTACGGAAGTTTTGCTAGTGGTTTGCTAAACTCAGTGGTGGGTGAAGGTCGGGAGTAGCAAGGCATCAATTTGTATAGCGACTATATTATATAGTAATCGGTTCTATATTTTTATTGTAACACTGTTTGGGACAATAATTCATGCTAAAATTCGTGCAGATATCACGTCAAATAAAATAGTTTCWGAACAAGAAGAATTTTTCTGTTCTCAGATTTTAAGAAAAATTTAATCGAAAGAAATTGAGCGATAAAGAGCGCGAGACTCAAAGCTATTTTGAGGCAAAAGACAACAAACGTTATGTTGAGCAACAAAGAATAAAGTATATTCGCTTTTAAAATGCCAGGCAGTTAATCATCGACCAGTCAAAAAAAAGAAAAAAAAAGAAAAATCAAGCGAAAATCGCTCACTTTTAGTCACATACAAAATATAAAACACACATATTTTCAAACACACAGCAGTRTGCATACTAGATGCATGGTTTCAGGTGGGGGGTGGGGGTCAGACTAAACATTACATTGGCCGGGTGTGAATATTAAAAAGTCATCGACACGACTAGCATGAACCCCATTAAGCAACATATATTTTTCCGTATGCCATTTTTATTGACTCAACTGTGTTTCGCGCATATAAACAAATATTTATGTATATGTACATATAAGTAAAACGAAACAAATTTTTGCTAACATATGGCAGAGTATGAGCAAACACTAAAATTTTATTAGCTTATTAGCGCTCAAAAYGTTTCCAAAACTTGCAAATACTCTCAACTATTTAAACACGCGTGTATGTGTGTGTAGGTATGTTTATGATGTTTCAAAGATTTAAAAAAATTGTGGTTAAGTGCAAAATGGAAGCAATTTGTTCGGCTATTTAATTGCCGTTAAACGCTCTTTGTTGCGCACTTCTCTTAATATAGAACGCCTTATTAGCTTAGATAAATAGTTTCAATTGTTTCGGCTAAAATCTACTCATAGCGCCGAAAGTGATACTTAATATGAATTGCGAATGTCTTGTTTATATCTTTGGCGGATACACGAATGTTTATTTGAAAGTTTTTTCGATTTTTTCGATTTTTTGTGTGTTTTTTAGTATTTTTTGAGATAATGGAACGTGACTCACATAATTAAAATTCGTTTCGTTTTTTTATTATTGTAGTTAATTAATGAAATTATTTTATTAATGAAATTAGCCAAATACCCGTGATCGCGCATAATTATCAAAAACAACGAGGCATACGTATATTGTTAAATAACTGATGCTTAAAATTTGCAATCCAGGTCTTAAAATTTTGTATATGTTTTAAGTTTAACGTATTTAATGAAAAAATAAATAAATTWGATTAAAAACAAGGAGAACATAACTTCGGCTGCATCGAAATTTGTACATGCCAAATTCCGTGAAGA